CCATGCACACGCCACCACCATGCACTACACCTCCATACACACGCCACCACCGGGCACTACACCTCCATGCACACGCCACCACCGTGCACTACACCTCCATGCACACGCCACCACCGTGCACTACACCTCCATGCACACGCCACCATCGGGCACTACACCTCCATGCACACACAACCACCGGGCACTACACCTCCATGCACAGGCCACCACCGGGCACTACACCTCCATGCACACGCCACCACCGTGCACTCAAGGACACGTGCTGTCACACACACCACTGTGCCCTACACCATCACACGCATAGCCACACACTGACAGTGAGATGGGAACATCTCTGTGCACACACACCACCATGCACACACATCTTCGTGTTCCACACCATCACACAAACAACCACACAGTAGCGGTGAGATGGGGACTTCTCTGTGCATGTGTGGCCTGAACCGTGCAAGCTGTCTTGGATGTTCTTTGTGGAGCCTGCAACACTGTGGGTGGTGAATAAACAGCCATGGAGTGCAGTCATCTTGTGATTCAGTGCTCTCCATGCTGGCACTGGAGGCCCTTCATTGTGGTGCCCGCAACCCTGCCCAGCCAGGTGACCTGTGTCCCTGCTCTCCCACAGACCAGTGGCAGTGGATGAAGGGCACAAGAGACCAGGAGTGGGGAAGCCCTGTCCCTCTGTCAGTCAGCAAGATGTTATTCATGTCCTGCCAGCATTTTAGGAGAAAATACTGTCAAATATGACATTTACTGGGCACTTTCCTTTTTCATTTTGCTGGCTCTGTGTAGTATGTGGGCTCCTGTGACTCTGCAGAGCGTGGGGACACTACAGTGAGCCCCGCAGCTCACCCCAGGCCATGCGCCTCCTCCTGCAGTCTGTGTGTAGTGCGTCTGCTGCTTGTGCAGGTGACTTCTGCCTTAAGAAGTGCAGATGGCTGAAGCCCCGTGCGCCCCCACCTCCCTCACCATGGAAAACACTCTCAGCAGTTTGATCTTCATGTTCTCGCTACCATTGATTAGTCCTTCGCTCAGCTATTATTGATTGTGTTCTCATTACGTGGAAACCTGCCAGGAACATGACACTTTCTGTAGCATAACGTTCCCCATCACGTGTTAATATGCTGTGTGTGGTGTGGACCGTGTGCTGTGTGCGGTATGCACAGTGTCGTGTGTGGTGACATTGTGCTGTGTGCGGTGTGCTGTGTACATGGTACAGTGTGTCCCGACATCCCGCAGTGTGTGGTGTGCACACTGTGTGGTATGTAGTGACATCCTGCTGTATTTTGTTATTTCACAGCAGTGGTCAGCCTCAGGCCTCTTTATCAAGAGGGACAAGAGGTGGGTCTGCTTTCCGTCTGGCTGGGCTTTAGTTCTCTGCAGAGGAAGGTGGGCGAGGTGCCAGCTACAGTAGTTCACTGACAGCAGGGCAGCACCCCGCCCCGGGAACCCTGGTGTCATTTCTCACACCAGTGCACTGTGTATCCTTTCTAACTCTCTCTGTCCCCAGGACTTAGACCTAGGAGCTGGAGGACATGTTTTTATAAATACTGAGCTGTTGCTTTTCTTTATTTTTCAACGTAGAGTGTTATTCATCTTTTCCCAGTTAGTGGACAAAAGTGGGCAAACAGTTGACTCTCATTGTGACCTGCACTCCGGTGACACCCAGGCCTGGGAAGGTGGGCATCCCCACCGGCCCTCGGGCTGCTGTGAGTTGCTGGTTTCTCCTGTTTGCCCACTATTGTGTCTACAGTGGACGCTTGGTTAGCCATGCACATTCTGAGCCTGGGTCCCAGCACCTCACACACTTTTCTGTGGCTCCTGGTAGGTTTTCAGAAATCAGCTATGTCAGTCCTATGTTGTGGCATCAGTGCTCTTCCTTAAGGTTTGTGTGGTGGGACGTGGGAAGGCTTTGTGCTCACCAGGACACGGCGCGCTCCCTTTCCTGCCCCACGGCACCTGTCGCCCACCCTGAACTGTTGGGAGGAGCTGAGCAGCAGCAGTGACCATGGCATTGTTGGTTCCTCCCTCGGGGCGAGCTGCAGTTACGTACACAGCCCCTTGTTGCGGTGATCTGTCTGGCTTGCCCTCCCTCACTAATGCTGTCCTATAATTACCAGAGATTTATAGTCTGTTTAATATCTGCTGGTGCGAGGCCCTGCTCATTATTCTTGATTAAATTCTCTTCCTCTTTGGGAGTGTTTCTCCCCTGTGCTAACTTTGCTTCTGCTTGTCACAGCCCAGGAGAGGAACACCCGCTTAGTGCCGTGATGGGGGAGGCGGGGGCGCTTCATGGAGAAGAGAGCAGAGGTGGGGGCAGTGGACATCATGGAGGGAGGGGTGGACTTCAGATTAAAGAACAGTCAAGACAGGTGGACATCAGAGGGTAGAGAGTAGTCGGGGTGGTCGACTTCATAGAAAGAGAGCGGCCTAGGGTGGGGGATGGGGGCTTTCCCAGGGTCTGCATGCAGGGTGCTGCTTGAGGACAAGCCCCAAGGTCCCATGACTCGGCAGGACAGACGGCCTCCACACCCTGACTTATGCACCCACACACACCCTGTGTGGGCTGGATGTCTCTCTGGGTCTCACTGCCCACTGCCCAGGCCCCACGCTTTTTAACCTCATTGGTCCCCTGCCTCTGTGGGTCTCACTGCCCGCTGCCTGGGCACCACATTGGCCTGGCCTGGCCTGGTTTGGTCCCCTGCCTCTGGGCTTTCTCTCTGAGACATGAGCAAACCTCCAGGCGATTCTAGAGGCACTGTCAGTGATGAGGCTGTTAGGAAAATACCCTTTATTGGAAGTGTGGAATTTGATCTCTGACAGCAGTGGTTTGCCCAAGGACACTGTCTGCCCAAGGAAAGGAACAGGCAGAAGAGCTCCGTAGAAAAGGGCCCATTTCGAGTCCCTACTCAGATGTCGTGTCACTTTCTCTGTTCCCAGCACCCTGTCCAGCCCTCCCCACCCAGGGTTGTGAGTGAAGCTCCCACTGGGGGAGATGAATGAGCCTGGTAGGTCACTTCCCTCCCACCCTCAAGGCCAGTGTTGTAAGCTCTGTGAGGAGGTGGCCCTGTGACCACGCTGTGGGGCCTGATGGTTTGTCGAGAGCACATGTAGGCACAAGGGGGTGCAGGGTGAAATTGAGTGAGATGAAGGCGATGGCAGTGTATGACAAAGGGCTGCTTAGACATTGTCATTCGTTTATAAACACCTGTGAATGATTGTATGGGAAATTAGGATTTGTAAACCTTACTCAAAATAAATTTTTAAAGCACGTCACTCAGTGATTGGAGGCTCTTGGAGGTATGAAGATGGTGCAGGTTGCACATTTCTAGCCGGCAAGGAGTGGGTGCTGGTGCGAGTGACCCGCGTGTCCGAGGTCAGCTGGCTCCACTGCCGTGCGGTGTTGGTGTGCTGATAGATTGCCAGACCGCTCTTCCAAGAGGCTCCCAGTGGCCACTAACAGCCGTCCTTCAGCATAGCTGCTGAGTGTGCTAACCGTCGGACACCCAGGCTCCCCTGCACAAAGGTGAATCGATCAGATGGAAAGCGTTTGCTATACTCTTTCACAACAATTCGGACAGCAATAACTGCTGCCTTCATAGAATCATAAACCAGAAAGTAGCATGTGCTCCAGGATGGGGGTTCAGTGCTGCCTCCCAGTGGGGTGTTGGTCCCGGCTCTGAGTGTGCTGTACAGACACATACACACACACCTCTCCCTCCCTCCCTCCCTCCCTCTCTCCCTCTGTCTCTCTGTCTCTCTCTCTCTCCTGGTCCTGGCTCTGAGCGTGCTGGCCATTGTCAATATCCCCTGTCCCTGATGAGTGCTGGCCTTCTGTCCTCATCCTGCCCTTGGACTAGAGAGACCATGGCCAGTCCCTGTCTGGCTGCACTGGCCGGCCGGTCACCTCTCGCAGGGTCCCAGGCCTGCGGGCTTTCCTGAAGCCGCCTTCCTCCTCTCTTCCATGGGGCAGTTAATGGACTGATGACACCGGCCTGCCCGTGAGCAGCCTTGCACGTGGTGACCCCACCACCAGGGCTCCATCATGGGTGAGAACTCACTTGTAAATAGCGTTTGTGGGAGTTCTCAGGCACGTGGGTACACTTTGTGGTTCAAGGGCATAAACCGTGGCCTCATGGCGGTGGGGCTGCATTCATGAACCTCAGAAATGGATCAGAGGCTCCAAGAAAGCCCACAGAGAAAGACTCTCAAGGAAAAAATAAACCTCTTCATGCCCGCTGAGAAGCAGAAAGCAGCTTTCAAAGCCAGGGTTGTACTAGAAAATGTATGTACTAACTTCTAAATAAAACACTAAGAAAGACCTTGAGCATACTAATTGAAGAGCGGAATATCCACGCTCTCCCTAAATAATGTTGACTGGGGCTTCGGGAGTGACAGTGTCAGAAGGGCAGAGCCCAGGGTGTGTCCCCAAGGCTGTGGGGTCCCCAGGGGAGTGCGTTCTGAGAGGTGTGGGGGTCCCCAGGGACGTGTCTCCCGGAGGCGCGGCTCATGCAGAGGTGAGCGAGGACTCACCTATCGGAGTGACCCTGGACGCTGGTGGTGCTGCTTTGGTCGCGCAGGACCCGGGCCGGGTTAGCAGCCGCTTTGTAAGGGGGACCTGGTAGGTTTGTTGGGGGAACCTCAGTGCGGTCTCAGGGAAGAAATGACCGTGCTCCCGCATTTTATTTTCCAGAACTACACACAGTATATCCCACTGTCCATCTATGACCTGCAGACTTGGATGGGCAGTCCATCCATCTTCGTCTACGACTGCTCCAACGCCGGCCTCATTGTCAAGTCCTTCAAGCAGTTTGCCCTTCAGAGAGAGCAGGAGCTGGAGGTGAGCCCAGGTGGGGGTGCTTCCCAGGCGGGCAGGGGGTGCTGCTTCCCAGAGGCTCATGTCCTTCACTGGGATGGAGACCTGCTCACAGCACTGAGGGTCAGAGGGTGCGCTTGAGGCCAAAGCAGCAGGCAGTGCCCTTTGCCATCTAAGCATCCACTTAGGGATGGCATTGCGAGAGCCAGCTTGTATCTGGCGACGTCCACCTTGGAAGCTAAATGTCAAGGTCAGCAGACACTCAGGTGAGGAGCAGTGGACCAGCCTCTGGTCACTGACTTCAGCCCATCACCATCTCAATCATTGCTCCAGCTGCTTTCTGTGATACTAACGGGGACCCAGGGTGCTAAACGAAAGGGACCTAGTGCCGTGGGGCAGAAGGAGCTGGCCTGGTCAGCGGATCACCCACTGACTGCTCCTGGGAGGAGGATGGACCGGGCTCCCGTGCCGGCTCACAGCCTCGGGAACGAGGCCTCAGTGGAGGGACAGTGAGCTGGAATCGACGGGGTGACAGTGGGTACAGCAGAGCTGTCACAGCCGGGAGAAGCTGTGTGGTGCTCCTCTGGACGTGGTTGTTTTCATGACTATCTGCTGTTTGAGTAAAACAGTGGATTCTAAGGGAACTGTAAGAGGCAGCTTCCGTTCCGGACCTCCATCGTGTGCTCGCTGCACAGGGGTGTGGGTAAGATGAGGCCCCGCGAGGGCTGGCGGGCTGCGAATCGGAGCAGACGAGCCTGGTGCGCGTCTCCTCGGGCCTCCGTGTCGCTGTTCTCTTCGTATTTCATCAGAAGATACTGCTGAAACAATCAACAGTCAAATTTGAAATTCTATTTAGTAGAATATAAAATGAACATTTCTGCAGTTTAATATCTCATGTTTATAAATTAAGTCCTTATGCAGATGACTATCTAAGAGTGACACATAATAAAATGCCTTTTTTCCTAAGAACCAAGCCAAGTACCACAGGTCCCTCTGGTGCTCTCTGGAGGGAAAGGGCCCCTTCTTGCTGTCAGACGTTTCACTGGGCTTGCCCGGGGCAGGTAACCCAAGGGGCCCAGCAGCCTCACAGCAAAGCAGGAACACCTTGCTCAGATCCTCTAAGAACTACTCTGGGGAATCTGCTCTGCGTCTGTGGTCCGAAGAGCCCTGCCTCATTTGTAGACCTGGCCGTAAGCGTACTTCAGCCCTAAGCGTGTCAAGTCCAGTGTGAGTCTGTCCCATGCAAGGAGTTCTAGTTCTGTCGTGCATTACATGGACGTCTGTTTAACCAAAAGGCTGGTGGTTCGAATTTGCCAGCCACTGCCCAAGAGAAAGATGAGGCTGTGGCCTCCTGTAAAGATGCACAGCTGTGAAAACCTGATGGAGGGTGGACTGCGGGGCAGCGAGAGGCTTCCTCCTGGCACTCCACAGCACGTCGACGCACACTGCCCCACGCGCTCCATGGCACGTCCATGCACACTGCCCCCACGCGCTCCATGGCATGTCCACGCACACTGCCCCCACGCGCTCCGCGGCACGTCCACGCACACCTGCCCCCACACGCTCCATGGCACATGCACGCTCATGCTGCCAAGGGTGCATCAGCCAAGATGCTGCTCATTTCACACAATTTGCATAATCTTTTTGCGAGGAATGTGTTGAATTGACTCGCTCAGCTCCTCAGGAGATCACGTGCACAGGAGATGCATGGGTGGCTTCCTGATCAACGTGGTCCTTAACTGCTTCCTTTTCAAAGTGACAGTGTAGATAGGCTTGTGTTTTTCCATTACAGTTGCTCATATTGGCTATTGTTCAGTTGGTCTCTTGCATAAGCAGCGGAAATTAAAATCATGAAATTGGCTCCCAGCTAAGATCTTCAAGTTCGCTTTAGTCATTTCACTATCTGTAGAAGCCTCAACCCTGCACGCCCTCTTAAGTTTGTTCTTTTGAAAGTCCTTTTCCTCTCTGTGGTTCACCAAATTCCTTGTCAGCTTATGTCTCCTGTTAGTGCTTTGGACTGGAAATGGGTGGTGACTGTGCATGGCTCAAAATCGGTCAGTAAATGGTTTAAGGCGTGTGATTAAATGTAAGAATGATTAAATACTGTGCACAGAACAAGAGCTTGGAACAGAAAGCCTGTTTCCCCGATAGAGGCTGCTCGCTGTAGCAGCGATGTGAGTGACAGCAGTCTGCAGAAGCGAGTTCAGCTCCCTGTTCTTGGCAAGTGGCCTTCCTCCCCGCTTCTCCTCCAGGGACGTTGTAGGGAGAACGGAAGGCAGCTTGCAGCTGGCACAGCACCAAGCTAGGGACACTTCTTTGCCACTCTGTCATGTTCTCTATGCTTTTCCTTTTGTCCTGTTATTTTATCGTTAGAAAATTAAGGAAAAGTGATTTGAAAAGTTTTAAGAGAAAATGCTTTCAAAACTTAATATGTTTTTGTTAAATTAGTTTGTGTACCAGATAAGCATGCAGATTGTAGCCTTTCAGTGAATCTACCCCATCCCGGCTGAAGCTCTGTTACTGAAAATGCACCTACAGCCGGGTCTGACCTGGAGCCACCTCCCATCAGTTTTCCAAGGCTGTAAATCTCTAGGGGAAGATCATGCCCACCTTCTCCGAAGATTACCTGGGGGGTTCGAACCACCCACCCTTCACTTAGCAACAGGACACATAAAAAAACTATGCCATCATGTCTCCTGCTGCTGAAGGGAACATACTTTTAACAGCTCAGATCTTCTGGTGAGAATTCTCCTGTCTGTAAGTAATCTGTCTGTACGACTTCTTGACTTTGGTTTTAGATCATCTGTGGATTTTCCGCTGTGATACAGCCGGCACCCACATCTCCCCGTAGAGGCTGCTATGTAAAGACTGCAGGGGCTGTGGGGGCCTGTCAGTGCACACGTGGCACTTGAAGTTCAAGGGAGTATTTGTCTGCAATTATGAATTCTGGAAAAGTTTGCCACTCAGTTATAACTCACTTTATTTGATTTCTCTATATTTTGTAACTTTAAGTAATATTCTTACACATTTTAAAAAATTGTTGAAAATGCACGCAGAAGACCATCCCCACATGACTTAGCTGTATGGCAGTGGTATCAGGGACCCAGGCTCTTGTCATCCCAGGCTACTGGGGGACAGTCGTGTTTTATCCTGACGGTGGCAGTGTGTCCACCGTGGCTCCAGTACTGCCTCCATCTTTGAGAGTAAGGAGGGAGCAGTGCTCACTGTGTCTGTATCTTTTCAGAAGAGCAAATGTGTTCCAGGAAACAGCCCTGCCACCCCCATGGCTACCCCCGTTCTCATGGGAGGGGCCCAGGAGCCTGGAGTGGAATGCTTCCTGGCCCACCTGCTGGTTCGTGTCAGCCCCAGGTCTTCATGATAGCACATCTGGTCAGTCCCGTGGGACTGCAGGTCTGGACTGTTAGCACTGAGCAGTCACCACTCCGACTGCTTATCATGGAAGAGTAGGTGAACTTGACCAGTCTCCCACCTGTTCCGTTGGGTCTGCCACTAGTGTCCCATGAGACCTGCATGCAGACGGGAACCACAGAAGGAATGTGGTCTTAACCCAGGGCCTGTGGACAGTGAGTTGGAGAGAAATGAAACTGTTCTAGAGTATTCATCAGGGGCACTACCCCTCGTCTGCGAACTAGAGGAAGGCTGTCTCATGAACTTTCCCAGAAGTGGTCTTCAAGAAGCGCCGTCCGTCACCTGCCCCCGTGGACATGCCACTTGGACATTACCCTGCTCACCTGCACCAAGACGGCAGGAACCCGGGTGCCGGGGCCGGCATGGACCTGTGCTCTCTCTCAGTGGCAAGCTCAAGTTAATAATGTCTGGAGATCGCGGGCCATGACCCCTTTTCTAGGACAGAGAAAGAGGGGCTCAGCTGTGCCCCAGAGAGGCCCAGGACTAAGGGCAATGCCTGAGTGGACCGTGAATGCGCAGTGGCGACAATGGGGACCTAGGAGGGCACAGGGCCTTGGAAGGGGAGATTACCTCGAGGGCATGAGGGGCTATCTAGCCCCAAGGCCCTAGCTTCATACCCAAGAAAGCAGTTGCTCAGCCAGAGACCAGGACATCTGTCTGTATGCCTCCCATGTCCAGGTCCCAGGGCCCTGCAGGGTGTCTTGTCCACCTCATCTGTGGCCACCTGAGTTTTCCATTTACTCCTCCCTCTGTCTCTGGTGACCGATGTGACCAGGGGCCAGCGTGCACACACAACTAGCCAGGCATTTACTGTGCCGGCCTCACAGGCAGCCCTCTGCCGTGCACACGGGAGGCCGGCAGCTCTCTGCACCCCCTCATCTGATCGTCTGGGTGTGCAAGAAAAAAAGTGATTTCTCTGCGTGAAACATTGAAGAACCCTGGCCACTGCCGACAGGAAATGAAACCCAGAACAAAGTGGCTGTTAACAGACCCCCCCCTTCCCAGACCCGCTCTGCTTCCTTGCAAAGTCTCGCCGCCAGCCTCCTAGAGCCGTCCTTTACCCAATTAATGTGGCGATTAATTATGTTTTGTCTCATAGTCTCTCTTCTGCGCTTGTTGTCGGCTGTAATTTAGGACCTTTCTGTAAACCTGTCACAGCGCCTCTTATGAAGTAGGTGCTCAGGGAATATTTATAGATCTGACTTGATAAATAAGTACACTTCCAGACACCCCACCTCCAGTCATCGTCATTAAGAAGGCCTGTGCTGCATTGAGCAGGTTTGATCTTGTATTGATTTGTATGACAAAGAGCCCCAACTCATGAATAGAACATAGTATTTACAGCCGTAGAAGGCAGAGTGGAGCCTTCCCGGCCGAGTCTGGGAGTGGAATTTTTTCCCCGTTTCATCTGTTTTCAGATGTCTCTAGAATGTACTCGGCACCATGAGATATAGTCGCTGGGGTGGGGTGTCTCAGTGGGGGACCCGCTAGGCGGTGTGTTCTCCAGGAAGCTCAGTCACGCGTGTGTGCACTCATGCACACAGCCCTTCGTGCCCCGTGCCTGCCTGGACACGTGCAGACTCCCATCCACGCTCGCAGCCCTGCACACACATCTGCACACATACGTGCACACTCAGACCTCTGTGTGATGACAATCCCAAAGACCTCTCCTTCTAGGCGTTGCTCTGTGTGGAAAGTCCCCCGGAGAGGGGCCATCCCGGAAACAGAGGCCAGGATGACCTGATGCCTCAGCGGACGGGTGGGGACTGTGGTGCTTCCTGGAGGCTTGCTGAAACCACCCCTGAAATCAGGCTGTGTCCCCTTGCTGCTGCTGCTGGTGCGGAGACCGTGGGTCACCAGGTCCTGTCCGTGCCAGCACTGTCCCTGGTCAGCAGCCCCTTGAGGCCCCCGTCACAGGGTCACGGAGCCAGCTCCGTCGTCAGACTCGGTGGAGTGCCTCACGCCTTGCAGAGCAGCTGATGCCGCAGGAGCACAGCCTCACCCCAGGTTTATACAGCTGGGCTGTTGGGTCGCATCAGCTGCCTTCCTCGGTGTCACCTGTGCGTGCCCGCTGCTCCGTTAGGGGCACTGGACCCCACGGTGGAGTGAGAAAGGCAGCATCACCATCCTCACGCGGTCACTTTTGACAGCCTATGGGTGGCAGGATTCCTGAGTGCCCCGACTTCATGTACTCACTGAGCGTAATTGGCGAGTGGGATCTGGCTATCATTTCTAATTAAACCACATCCCTGAGTTGCAGAACCATTTCAGAGCGTTCTGCGTGCTGTGGAATTGCTAATGGTGAGATGCCTCTCAGATAACAAGCTCTTCCTTTGGCTCAGCTCTGGGGCGGTTGTGCCAGCCTGTCCTTCCAAAGGGCCCTCCAGCCAGCGTCCGTGGGGCAGCTCATCATACACGTCCTCACCTGGTGAGACGAGGCCCTTGTCTCTCGGCCTGGATCACGGAGTCCCCAGTTCCAGGCCTACCTTGCTCCTGCTGTGTGATCTTCGGGGAGCTGGGTGCTAACGGAATGCATCAGCCACCCTGCAGCGAGATGAGGAGGTCCCTTCCTAGGAAGATCTGGCTCCAGGGGCAGTTGTCATGAGCCAGAAGTGGGGTGTCCCTTCTAGAAACACTGTGAGCCCCTGGGGCCAGCCTCACACACAGGCAGTTTTTGAAGAGCAGCATCAATTGAAGGGTCTGAGTTAGGAAGCAACCCAGCCATTAAAATAAATATTTTGTATTTTTGTTTTAACAAATTTAAAAAGCGAGTCATTCATGGAACGCTGTAGCAGGGCGTGTTTCATATGAGCGTCACTGATTTAATTATCCTTGAAGCCTAGCTCTCGCCCACTCTCTCCACCCCGTGGTGTTGAGGAAGAAAGGTGTCCTGCCAGCAGGTGGGCTCTGTCAGTCACGGGGTCATTCTGTAACTGGGGTAATGCCACTGTCGCTCCTCGTCCACCAGCACCAGGCCATGTCCACTAGGCCCATTTGAAGTTAATTTCTAATGGCCATACTTGGGATGCAGTCTGTCTACATCTCTGTCCCATTTTCCTTCTCTGGACGTCCTTGACGTGCCGTACTGGGCCCCATGCCCGGCAGGTTGTGAGTGCAGGTGGAGTGAGGCGGTGTGCAGTTTACAGGGTCAGCCTGCCTCCCTTCGCCGCCTCCTTCTGACCCTGTCCCTCTCTACCTTAGCCCCTGCCTGTGTCCTCCCAGCCCTCCCCCAGCCCCTCCCTCCGTGTCCTCCCAGCCCTCCCCCAGTCCCTCCCTCCCTGTGTCTTCCCAGCCCTCCCTCAGTTCGTCTCTCCTAAAGGTGACCTAGGAGAGGGTGGTCTTGCTGGGAAACTTTCTCTCCAGAGTCACTGGCATTCAGACGCCTGGTGGGAAGGCTAACAGAGAGTGAGAGGTGGAGCGGCAGCCAGGATTGGAACTGACAAGAGCAAGGACTTTTTGATTCCTCCGCTCAGCGCTGTGATGCCTTGGCCTCCATGTGGAGGCCAGAGTGGTCAGCCCTGGACATCTTCCTTTAGGAGGACAGGGGAGTGTGGAGCCTGCCTTTAGCAGAAAGGGCTGATTATTTCTTTTTTAAATCATCTCCACCTTTTCTTAGACCTTGTGTGCTGGATGATGGTCATTCTGTTGTTGAGGTCAGCTGCTGGGGCTGGTCTGAACAGGAGCAAGCCCACTGACCCCAGTCCTGCTCCACGCCATCATGACTGGCACTTGGTCACTGTGTCTGGAGGGTCTTCCCCCCTTGGGGTTCGCCACCCACCCTCCACCCTCAGGGCTCCTTCCACCTCCCACCCTTGCAGCTTGTTCCTCCATCCTTGAGGGTCACCCCACCCTCGGGGCTCGCCCTCTGGGCTCACCTCCCACTCTGAGGGCTCACCTTCTACCCTCGAGGCTCATTCCCTACCCTTGGGGCTCAACACCCCTCCCCCAGGGCTCCCTGTGAGGTGTGTGCCTAATTCCTGGTGCCACCACACAGTCCCCTTGCCCTCCCCGTCCCTAACCCCCTCCCTGAGCACAGACATTTGCCCCCATCAAGCACCTGAGTCCTGTCCACACAAGCCAGGCAGCCCATCCCCAGGCGAGGCCCCTGCTTGCCCTCCTGTCACCTCCAGCAGCTTTCCGTGACTCAGGCTGAAGAGGCCTTGGCAGGACCAGGCTCAGCCCACCTCCAGCCCAGTGGGTCCAAAACTCATTTCCTGTGGAGCTGCTCATCGAGCCGAGGAGTGTGGAGCTGCCTGCCTCGCCGTGCGTTAAAGCGCCCTCCGCCCGAAGCGGCCGTTTTCATTAGAGTTGGAATTGTATTTATTATTAAACATAGTAGAAATGGGTCTGGACCTCTGTCTGATGTTCCTGTCTCAGAATAGGTTATTGAAAATTTGTAACTTAAATACCTTCCCTTTGAGGCACTTTTTTACGTGAAAGCAAGATTTTCTCTGCAGCAGTAATGGCAGCCCGCTGCACAGCGTGCTCAGTCTGTTAGAAAGTGCGTGTGGTGACCGCCGGGGAGGGGCCGGCTGCTGGACATCCCGCATGGCTGCTGACAGAGTCAAGAGCAGGAGAGGAGGGCACTTGGAGATCAGCTCCCTTCTCCAAGGAGGGTCAGTGCTGTGTGAACCCCTGCCTTAACCCAGACGCGCGGTGTTCAAGGGGCTCAGCTCTGCCGGGGTTTTCCTGCTGGGCAAATCATGTCAAGTTCTAGATTAGTAATAAGAACCTCGTCATCCCAAAGCCACCATTGACCCATCAGTGCGGACTCATGGTGACCAGATTTCCCAAGGCCTTGACGCCTAAGGAGAGGAGGTGCCCCTGCTTCCCCCACAGCACAACTGGAGAGTTTGAACAGCCATCCCGTTCAGTTAGCAGTCCAGCGTATAACGATGATGCCAGCCAGGCTCTGAGTGGGGAGAGGGGTCTGTGTGACCCTGTTCTCTGTGTCCCCACATTGCATTTTCATTCTCTTCCCAAGTCATGACTGAGGGTCACTAACTAAGGAAAATCCTGTCACTCTGCCTGTTCCTCGTGCACGTCCCCCTGATGGGGGCAGGCACCTCAGCCAGAAGGACTGGAGGTCCACCTCTGAGACTCCAGTCCTTTAAGGCCCTGTGCGCACAGTTCCACCCTGACGCCATTGGCTCGCCAGGAACCAGCTGGGCTCCGTGGTCAGGTGCCACCCAGCCGCAGCCACAGGGCAGGACCGCAGGGCTGGGGGCCTGGTCCTCAATGAAGCAGGTGGTGACATTGGCTCACGGTTGTCACAGGAGCGGGCGGAGCTGCGTGCAACACTCCCTCCCTGTGCATCACGCTTGTGACATGTTCCCGGTCGAGTGCCAGCAGTTCTTGTGAACCTCCCTCCTTACTGCTCAGAGTGATGGCAGACGGCGTGGGTGACCGAGATGAGCGAGTGAAGCAGCGTGAGGACCGGGTGGTATCAGTGTGTCAATGTCTGCAGTGTGACAGCAGGAGTTTGTGCATGTGAGGCCTTGGGATTTCTTGATGGTCTTTGGGAAAACTAGACAAGCTGGGATTATTCCTGGTGGATTCAGAAGTCTTCTAGCAGACCCAAAACACACACTGTTCAGAAAGCTTTCATTTGGATGAGGTTTTTGTTCCATCGAAGTAGGATTGTGTCTGGGTGCTCCTGATGAGTGGTCATTAGCTAGGGATCGGCCGTCCTCCAGCTTCCCAGCCAGCCCTGTGGAGGCTGGTGGCCCCTGGGTCAGTCCAGCACATGGTGGCCCCATGTGTGCTGAGCGGAGGACACTCTCCAAGCATCGTGGTGGTGCATCTGGCCTCCCATCCCCTCCACAAAGAGGTTTGGGCTAGTAGAAGCAGGAAGACTTCCCTCCCCCAGCCCACAGTGCACACACACCTGAGCAGAGAGCACCTGTGGTCTGTCCCTCTCCGCAGCCCTGGCTGCCTCTCTGTCTCTGTGTTTCCGGGTGATGGGTATGTGGGCTCAGGCTTGCACATGGTTGTGCAGGTGGGGTTCCATCGGGGACCTTTGCTTCGTGTCCTCTGGATACACATCCCTGCTGTTAAATGCTCCGTGTCACCGAGATGGAGTCACACTGGAATAAAGACTGAGGGAAGGGTATGTGAAGTGACTAGAAGAGACCCCTACACAGGGCCCAGGGACACATGTGACACTGGTGTCTTACTAAAGGGGACCATCACCTTGGCCAGCGCTCACCCTCGTCCGTCATCCAGGGTAGTGGAAGGAGGTGCTGTGGCAGATCTGGGGTCACCCTCCAGCTGTGGTTTGAACACGCTGGCTCTCCTGGGACCTGAGAATGCACACGACCCCAGACCACCCACCTTTACGCCTTGTTCTGCAGGTGTGTGAGGTGGGAGTTACTCTCTCTTCCGGCATGTTCTCCCCTAGGTCGCTGCCATTAACCCAAACCATCCGCTTGCCCAGATGCCCTTGCCGCCGTCCATGAAGAACTGCATCCAGCTGGCCGCCTGCGAGGCCACCGAGCTGCTGCCCATGATCCCCGACCTGCCCGCTGACCTCTTCACATCCTGCCTCACCACACCCATCAAGATCGCCCTGCGCTGGTGAGTGTCTGCTGTGCCCCTACACCTGAACGAGGCTTCTTCCCACCCACCTCCCCAGAGCCTCTGGGCCAGGCTCGTCATGTTACCTGGGTCTCTGTGACACTCAGGAGGTCACTTTAAGAGCTAGAGAGGCAGTTCTGCCTGCGGCATCGTGTGTACAGTTGATGGCTTTGTGGGTTCTAGAGCGCCCCCCAAATCCTCGTTCATTCTGCAGTCTGTCCTTGTACTGAGACAGGTTGTTACGCATACGCGACTCTCCTTAGAAACACACAGCTGTTATGGAAAAAGCCGTCCTTTAATTTCTTGCTTGACTATAATCTTTCAACTTATTCTTAATAATAATAGTCTTTCATCAAAACCTTAACAGTGAATAAAGAAAGTGCCTCCTCCTGCTCCTCCTGCTCCTGCTCCTCCTGCTCTTGCTCCTCCTCCTGCTCCTGCTCCTGCTCCTGCTCCTCCT